CCCCCCTGCGCCCTCCACTCCATGATAGTGGCAGCTTTCCAGTGCCTCTGCGTCTGGCTCACCGAGCACCCGAACATGCTGGAGGAGAAGGTGGGAGCCCTTCCTCTGTGTGTTCTGGCTGCTCCAAATCATAATCCCTTTTGTGCCTGACCCGTCTGATCGTGATACTTGAAAATAACGTGGTTTTCTTAGTTTTCAGAAGTATGCTGGGAATTTCAAAGCTGGTTTCTGTGCAAAGTAGTTCTAAATTTTGATTTCTGCTCTTTATTCACCAAGAATGTCTTTTGGCTTTAAAATGACCTTTTGTATTTCTAATAATGTCTTGATCTTTCTGCTTGCTTTGTGAAACTGGAAAAAGAGAGAAGAAAAGAAAATCTGAAAAAAAAACCTGAAAAGAGAAATACAGGAATTAATGATGTTTATATAGCATAGCTACCTGCTGCGGATAAACTTCCCTAAATGCCATGTCTCTTCTCAATTCTCAGCTCTTACCTGGCTAGAAGATCTTCTAGACTTAACAGAATTCCTTTGATGCTAATATTTTGATAATGGTAGTTTGTTTCATCAAGAGACCAATTTTCTAGAAACTGAGCAAGGCATAGCTCAGTACAAGATGGAATTTGCTTGGGAAGCTTGAAAAGAGCAGGAAAGGAAAGATGCATGTTTCCAACAGTCTTCTGTTTAAATTAAAAAGTAGCTTATAAAAATACATATATTTTTTAAAAATGAAAATTGAAAACCCACAAGCAGGACTGTAAATAAAGATGCTTTCTGCATGTGCTCTGTGGTACTGGCGTGGCTGTAGGACAGGGTGGTTTCCCTGCATGTGGCACAGCATGGGTTTATTCAGTTGCGTAATGCTTTATTTGCTCTCATGAGGTTCTCTTTATTTTACCAATCACTGCTTATCAAGATAGTGATACATACTGTATGTAGTAAATACTGGACACTTAGTAGCTCATTTCTGGGTCATGATTGTCAGATGGGAACCTTTCATTGCATTTGCAAGTATTAGAACTGCAATTTTCCAGGTGCCTCACTTTACATTTGCTTTGAATTTCACCTGCTATTTTACTAGCCAAAACTTTAAACTCCTTCTGTAGTTCTTTGTGGCTAGTCTTTGCATCTTGACACTAATTAATTTTTCTCTATCAGAAAACTTTAATCTTCCTCTTCACCTCTTTTTCTACATTAATTATAAATATAAGGAAGGACACAGGCCAAGGCATAGAAACCTGCCTGGTGTCTGGTGGTAAAAAATGAACGTTTGTGTTCAAATTTTAGTCAATCGTTTATTCATGAGAATGTTTTCCTTGTTATTCCATAGCTCAAGCTGTGAGATTTGAACCTTTGTTGTAGCAATCCAGATATTTTCAGCAAATGATTTTGTAATGAGCAGCGCTTGTGAGGCGTACCTGCCGTTCTGCTGGGCGCTGGCCTCTCCTGCAGTAGATTCGTTGAAGCTTTGCTGTGTGCTTTTATTGTTATTGTTCGCTTGATGAATTTCATACCATGATGTTTTACTTGTGAAAGCTGTTGGCAATTGAAAGATTTGGAAAAGAATTTCTTGCAATTGTCCAGATAAGTTGGTTCTTAATGTGTTTAGAACTTAATTCAAAGTTCTGCAGAGTGTCTCAGAAATGCATTCAGTATCTCTTTAAATATGTTTACATTTTTCAGTTGCACTCTTAGTAGTCCTCTTGGCAATTTTGTACTTGTATAGTGGAGTATGTTGGATGTATATACTCATTTGGAGTACTTTCTCTCTACCGTTAGAATACAAACACAAGCAGACATCTGTAGATGGAGAAAATGTCGTTCCTATAGCAAATGTGATCTTATTTCCAACACTGTACGTTAGAATGATCTTCTGCCTGTATTTCTGAGCTCATGTGTCCAGCAGTACTTTATTTTGATCGATGGTAGATCACTGTTTCACTGAGGCCTTGGAGCCGTTGGTCAGAGAGCTGCCGTTTGAAAATGGTTTCTCTTGTGTTTTAGGATTGTTTGAAAGAGGTACTGGAGATTGTGGAGCTGGGCATTTCGGGAAGTAAATCCAAAAACAGTGAACAAGAGGTCAAGTACAAAGGAGATAAGGAGCCAAACCCCGCATCCATGAGAGTGAAGGATGCTGCTGAAGCTACACTAACGTGGTGTGTAATTTGTCAGAGCATGTTTACTGTTTAGCACTGCCTTCTCTGAGAGTGTTTTAATGAGGAGTTCCCAGCTAGTGAGGTCTGTGATGTAGCAAGAGCATTTGAGAAGTCAGCCAGAAGCTCCCTCTGTGTTGCCCTTTGGGTGGGATTGTCCCGTGCTGCCCTAACTGCCTTCCCCCTCCCATTACACAACAGCAACAAGATCACCGTGATTGGTGTCTTCCCCTCCTGCCTTTTCTCTTGCTTGAGAGCAAAATCAGAGCCCTCCTGCAGCCCCTGGTGTTCTGTTCTCATCCAGTCCTCTCTGCAGATAGCAGTTCCCTGTCTCCCACTTGACCTAGTGATGCTGTCTTTCCATTCCCTCTTCTCCTTCTGCTTATCCAGACAAGATGCACCATCCCCACGCTGACTGGGGAACCGACAGACACTGTCTGGTGTCACACAGCAGGGAATGGCACACGCAGCAGATGTCGGTTGGTGCGGGATGGGATGTCGGTCTGCCCACAGCGTTGGGCTTGCTTAATATATTTGAGAGGTTGCGCTGGAAATGCGGTAACAGATAATGTGTGGGTTGGGGAGGGGAAGCACAGAGAGGAAAATTGAGATCTGCTCTAGAGAAGTTGAAAAGCACTGTTTTACTGGATGAACAGCATGATGGTAGACAGGACAGATTGAGGATGGGTAGGATAAACATGTTGTACATAAGGCAAAGCTGCTGTCTTTTTTGCTCTGCTTTGCAATAAAATTGTTATAAACTTTACTGTTAGTAAAAACAACTGCGTAATTTCCAAGGTGAAAGCAGCTACTCGTTGGAACTTGTGGACAAACCTTTATTGTTGCTAAAAGTGCCTCTTCTCATTTAGAGAAATGAAACAATTTGTTCTCAGAGTAAAGTGGACAAGTGTGTGGGAAGGACTTCAGTAAACGTACTGGTCTGGGTGGTCAGGTGAAGAGTGAAGTCCTGAGACAGATCATACGATCTTCAGTCTGACGCTGGACAACTCTCATTATTGGTTCTTGCCATAGAAATTTCCAATTTCTAATAGCATTAGGCAGACCCTGTACAATTTTGGATGATTTACATTGGTACTGCTAGGAGCCTCACAAGGCTGTGGCTCCAAGGAGGTCGGCACTGTTGGTCCGTGCCTGGAGGCTTTCTGCCAGGGCAGGTTATCATCTGTGATTGTTAAGGTTCATAGAATCAGAAGTCACATGCCTGCTAAACCATGTCTCCAAGTGCCACATCCACACGTTTTTTGAACCCTTCCAGGGATGGGGACTCCCCCCCTGCCCTGGGCAGCCTGGTCCAAGGCCTGACCACTCTTCCAGTAAAGACATTTTTCCCAATATCCAATCTAACCCTCCCCTGATGCAACTCGAGGCCGTTTCCTCTTGTGCTGTCGCTAGTTAGTTGGGAGAAGTGACCAACACCCATCTCACAACAACCTCCTTTCAGGTAGTTGTGTGATCCTGGGCCTTTATTAAAAGGTTTTAAGTTAATGTAATCTGTACTTCAAGAAAGCAAAGACAATGATGACTGGTGCATCTACAATGTCTCTTGCTTGTTGATGTGAGAGTAGGCTAAAGTGTGGGTGACCATCTCCAATCATCCATAATCTTCTAATAAGAATGAACATAAAAAAACCTGTGGAATGGTACAGATTTTTGTGCTTTAAAGCATATCTTAACATCTTTATAACCTAGGTTATAAAGAAACTAATTCTGGAGGCAGAGTACCCTTGTTTGTAGGTTTTCATGTATGTATTTCTGAAGTTACTGGTTCTGTTTTAAAATAAGCTGGTGGGAGAGGGCAGCCTTGCCCTGATAGGGTAACTGCTGTGTCGAGATAATAATGAAGAATATGAGTGAAGGTCTGTGCTTGGGTAGAACAGTTTGTTGTCTCAATCTGTCGTAACTCTTAACTTTTTTCTCACCTGCAGTATTATGCAGTTACTTGGAGCATTTCCTTCTCCCAGTGGCCCTGCGTCTCCTTGCAGCTTGGTGAATGAAACCACATTAATTAAATATTCTCGTCTACCTACCATAAACAAGCACAGCTTCCGTTACTTCGTTCTGGATAATAGTGTCCTCCTGGCGATGTTGGAGCAGCCTCTAGGGAACGAACAGAGTAAGTTCCTACTTGCCACTTCCTTCTTCCTCTGGTTAAAACTCTCTGTGCAGAGCTGCAGCACGAAGGCAGCTCCGCGAGTGCCTTGCTTGCGTTTTGGGGGTCTTGCTGGTTCTGTGGGTGTGCGACTGAGCGGAGCGGTGGTGTTCTGGATGTTCTTCTGGAATGGATTGGTGGGAATAACTTCAGTGCCACTGATAGTCTGTCACCCCGTTAGATCAGATACTTGCAGCTGATTGCCATCTAAATTATTGCTGATGGGCAGAAGCAAGAGCATTACATTTTGAAAACGTTGTTGTTCGTAAAAGAATTAAAATATAAAGAGTGTAGGAGGCTTGGAGGGGTAAGTGCTCAGCAAATGGTTGATGTGACACTTTTATACTTGCGTGGTTGCTTTTGCTTGCTTTAGGGCTCCCATTACTAAATGTTTCTGTGGGTGCTTTCAGCTCAAATGGTTTTAGTTGCTTAGGAGCTGTTATAACTTTCCTGTGTACCATCCTGTTCTATCAGTGACATCTGCTGTAAAGGAGGTCTGTCACAGGGTATTGGCTTTCACAGCTGAATCGAACTGATTTCAGCCTCATAGGCTTTGACCAACAACAATTTATAGTGTGGGTGACCATCTCCAATCATCCATAATCTTCTAATAAGAATGAACATAAAAAAACCTGTGGAATGGTACAGATTTTTGTGCTTTAAAGCATATCTTCACATCTTTATAACCTAGGTTATAAAGAAACTAATTCTGGAGGCAGAGTACCCTTGTTTGTAGGTTTTCATGTATGTATTTCTGAAGTTACTGGTTCTGTTTTAAAATAAGCTGGTGGGAGAGGGCAGCCTTGCCCTGATAGGGTAACTGCTGTGTCGAGATAATAATGAAGAATATGAGTGAAGGTCTGTGCTTGGGTAGAACAGTTCGTCGTCTCAATCTGTCGTAACTCTTAACTTTTTTCTCACCTGCAGTATTATGCAGTTACTTGGAGCATTTCCTTCTCCCAGTGGCCCTGCGTCTCCTTGCAGCTTGGTGAATGAAACCACATTAATTAAATATTCTCGTCTACCTACCATAAACAAGCACAGCTTCCGTTACTTCGTTCTGGATAATAGTGTCCTCCTGGCGATGTTGGAGCAGCCTCTAGGGAACGAACAGAGTAAGTTCCTACTTGCCACTTCCTTCTTCCTCTGGTTAAAACTCTCTGTGCAGAGCTGCAGCACGAAGGCAGCTCCGCGAGTGCCTTGCTTGCGTTTTGGGGGTCTTGCTGGTTCTGTGGGTGTGCGACTGAGCGGAGCGGTGGTGTTCTGGATGTTCTTCTGGAATGGATTGGTGGGAATAACTTCAGTGCCACTGATAGTCTGTCACCCCGTTAGATCAGATACTTGCAGCTGATTGCCATCTAAATTATTGCTGATGGGCAGAAGCAAGAGCATTACATTTTGAAAACATTGTTGTTCGTAAAAGAATTAAAATATAAAGAGTGTAGGAGGCTTGGAGGGGTAAGTGCTCAGCAAATGGTTGATGTGACACTTTTATACTTGCATAGTTGCTTTTGCTTGCTTTAGGGCTCCCATTACTAAATGTTTCTGTGGGTGCTTTCAGCTCAAATGGTTTTAGTTGCTTAGGAGCTGTTATAACTTTCCTGTGTACCATCCTGTTCTATCAGTGACATCTGCTGTAAAGGAGGTCTGTCACAGGGTATTGGCTTTCACAGCTGAATCGAACTGATTTCAGCCTCATAGGCTTTGACCAACAAGAATTTATATTATATTAAAAAAAAATCCGGTATTAGATGACATGATGCTTTGAACTGAATAACTGATCCCAATATGTAACTCTTCATGTATCAAGGCATTACCTAACAGAATAGATGAAAACTCTCTTATATGCTACCTCAGTTTAAGCCTAATGTGTGTTAGATCTGCTCATCTGCCATGGATTTATTTTTCTCATCTATGGACAGGATAGAGTCGAGATTCTAGTCTTGAAACCAGAGATTGCTCAGAACTTCATGAACTGGCTAAGAGCAGTTGTTATGTTGAGTTGCAGTCCAGTGTGCTCAGCCTCCCTGAGAATCACTGAACAGATCTTGCAGACAGTGCTGATGCCGGGAGCCATTGCTGCACATCCGCCCACGGTCTGTGTTTGAGCAAGCGTGTTCCTGACTAGGACGGATTAGAGCACGCTAGAATGGCTGAGCAGTTCTCATCCTTACTCTGCCTCTGCTGAATGCGTTACTGAGCAATCCTGTAAAGCTGCTAGAATCTGAAAGTAGATTATCTTTTCTTGCGGTGCAGAACTTGCTTACAAATCCCCCTTAAAGTACACGATTAATTGCAGTAATGCACAAGTACATCAGATCACTTTTTGAGGCAGATCACTGAAATGGATGATTGTGGAGAGTGGGTTTTGTTTGTCTGTACATGTGCTTATGTAGCTGTGCTGCACCCTGTGCTTCCCGTGAAATACTAAGGAAGGAGTGTGTACCTGCTAGGTACCTGGCGGTGTCAGTTGGTGGTTTACATGCACAAAAGATAAATAATTTTAAAAAGAAAAGCTGTAGAGGTGTGATGATCCCTTTTCTAAGGTTGCTAATATCTGTGGCCTTTTAAATCTCAAAGGAAGACTGAAATCCCTGCAGTGTTAAGACCATCATGGTGCAAGTTGAAAGGCACCTCGGGAAGCTGCAGCGTAAGCGCCTGCTCTAACCAAGGTCAATGCATTCAGACCAGGACAGTGCAACCTGGCATTGTCCAAGTAGGTCTTGGAAACCAATGAGGACAACTTCTCGGGGTCCCTGTGCCTTGTTGGGAAAAATCTTCCACGATGTGAAGTCAGAATCTTCCCCTGTCTTAGTGTGGCCGTGATCTCTTGTCCTTCCACTGTTGTTATTGCTGCTGTTTGTCCGAGGCCTTTGCAGAAGGTCATGGAAGTATCACAGAAGCTGTGTCTCCATATGGTCATTTGTCTTAAACAGACAGTGGCTGGACAATCTTTTTTTATTTCCTGAAGATAATTTGGAGAGAAACAGTGATCTGCATGAATTTGGACGAAAGTTACTTTCAGTGATGAAACTGGGCTGGCAGCTACTGAACAGACTGCGGAGTAGAGTAGCCCTTTGCTGCTCCTCACCTGGAATTGTCTACAGGGTCAGGGAGGAGCTAACCTTGAAAACAAAACCACTGTCATCATGCCTGTATTTCTTTCTGGTTAAATTATTGCACAGTGAACTGCTGCAATTTATGATGATACCTTACTCTCTTAACCCATGTGCTTTGCAGATGTTTTTTTCTGCAAGATTTGCATGGGCCCAGCAACTCTGTCTTTTACCAAGAGGAGCTAAAGCAAATCAAAAGGTCTCTATCAAAGCCCGTAAAGAAATCTTTAACTTAAAGATGTTCAGCAGAAATTCCACTAATGTGAGACAGCCCCACAGAGCTGGTGATTATACATTAAGGCTGAGCCACGGGGCCTTTAGCTGTAGGTAATGTGACACATCTCTGGTGACTCTTTACAACTTGTCATTGCTATGAAATACAGGCTGTGAAAGTGCTGTTGCCTTCTAGACTTGTTTAAGGGGAGGGGGATTTCTTTCTTTTCCAAAAGCACCTTCTGAAGTGGTGGGGCAATGGACAGTGTATTTAGTGGGTAGGCATGAGTGTTGATGTTGATTTTAGGACATCAGGCAAAGCCCTGGCAGCAGAGGGAGCGAAATCTGGGGGTGTAGAATGAGATGCTGCAGAGAGAACAGCTGCTCGAGCTACAAAGCCCAATGTTGCAAAGGTGGCTATAAACCTGCTGTGAAAACATTTATCTAGATGAACTCTGGAACATCTCTGAAGAGGAATAGTGGAGGAGAAATAACCCCAATCTCATTTTAAAGTAATATCTCTTAACTGCAGTTGTCTAGTGGAGTATGACCTTCCATTTCTTTGTGAACTCCAAATCTTCGAACTCCTCACATGCCCCTCAGTAAAATGAAGGAAGAAATAATGTGGCTGAACTGAGGGCCTGTCAGTCTCAGCTGTCATGTTCACGTTTAGATGAATCTGGTCTCTGCAAAGCAGCATTTGGGAAGACCCTCTGCATGATGCCTTTGGAGCTGTGCTGTCACGGATGCGGAGCCATTTCGCTGAGCAGCGTCAGCCCAAGTGTGCCGCCTCCCGCACCAAAGGAGAAGTCATGTCCTGGCTGCTGACCTCCTTACCAGTTTTAAGGGAACATTTCCACCTTAAAGGCACTCTGTAACTTTAATGTCAACAGTTTTGCCCTTTGGAAGCTTAGTTGGTAGTAAATAAATTTGTAAAGCAGCACTCAGTATGTAATTAGAGGTCTTGCTTGCTTGGACTTTATGCACCTGTGATCCTGCACCTACATCTTCTGTTGCTTTCCTCGGTAACTTCAAGTTCTGAATTACGTACGGGCAGTTTAGCACATAGTGTAGTGCCAGTGTCGAAGCGGCACTGCGGTACGTTGTGCAGGCCCTCTCGGCACTCTGGCAGCGCACCTCGCTCCTGAGCCACAGCGTTGCTGTGTGCTCTCCCAGGACTTCCCAGCCTGGCTTGTGATCATCAGAGGCAGCAGGGTGGAAATGCAGGCTTCTCGAGCAGTTGGCAGCTTTCACTCAACAGAACAGTTAGAGCAGGCTGAAAATAAGAGGTTGTCGTGTGAGCTTGCCAGTTTTATTGGGCTTTGCAACTCCTTAGAAGTTAGAGCGTGAGCAGGATTCATAGGTTCGGGAGTACAGCCACCAAAATGGGCAGAACTGTGTCTCTCTTATAAGTTACAGCCAAGTTTTTAATACAAGCCTATTAGTTTAAAGCACTTACTGAGTGTTTTTTAATGATACCTCACTAATGGGTTAGTGTACTTCTGGTGGTGAGGGGGGAGGGAACGTTCTCTGTCTAATATAATAAAGTATTCCGTAGTGGTACGATGCCTTGAAGATAAAAACTATCCCCCTTTTTTGTCAAGACTTTTGTACCAGAACCTCGACCAGCTCCTAAAAATGATGTTGGATTAAAATACAGTGTGAAGCACCGCCCTTTTCCTGAAGAAGTGGATAAGATCCCGTTTGTGAAAGCTGACTTGAGCATTCCTGATTTACATGAAATTGTGAATGAGGAAGTAAGTACCTCTTAGTCTCTGACTTAATTTTGTTCTTGGGTTTTTTGGCTGTTCATGAATCATACACTAATGTCTTACTGCAAATAGTTTTACTCACTAGCTTGACTAATTTCATATTAATGGAATAATAACCTCTGCAAATTAATGAAGTCTCTTAGTTCTCCAAGAGGATGACAGTGCCTTGGATGTGTTTCTTGGAGACACTGCTCGCCATGTTTTACTACAGATCCTAATATCCTGGATCAATGACTTGCATTTTGTTGCTTCTTCTGGGGAAATGGAACAGGCTTTTTTGAGACCTCCTGGGGGACGAGAAGGGTTCCTGTTTCAAAAGTATTTTAACGTTTCACAGTGGCAAATGTATGTTAGTTCCTGTTCACTTAAAAGGGAGAAGCTGTAGCTGATCCTGGGTACGTAAATTTGCACCGCTCTCCCATGCAACTAGAGTGTTTAGGCATTCACTTGGTAACGTTACAAGGTCTTGCTGATAGTGCTTCAGCAAACATCATGGTGGTGGAGTTGCAGCTGTGCTGTCTGTGACTTACAGCGTTCCTAAATGATGGAGCTGTTTTCTTAGTGGAGCTTAGTGACCTTGGTAGAATCGGCATTTCACACAATGTTTTTCAGCTTGAAGAACGACACGAGAAGCTGAGGAATGGCATGGCTCAGCAGATTATTTTTGAGACTTCCATAGATCAGAAAAGTGAAGAGGAGTGGCGGAAGAAGAGCTTTCCCGATCCGATCACAGAGTGTAAGCCCCCACCACCGGCCCAGGAGTTCCAGACAGCACGCCTGTTCCTCTCGCACTTTGGGTTTCTCTCACTAGAGGCATTGAAGGTGACCTGATACTTCTTAATGTTGTGCAGATGCTTTCAGTACCCATACGACCTGGCTTGGCAGAAGAAGAAAACTGTGTTTTGTTAGTGGAAGATCTGTGTAATTCCAGCTACTGTGAAGCTGTAGTCTAGTCAAATAAAGTGGTGGATTCCAGTCTTCCAGGATTGTGAGCATGGTTGTGAAAGGCCATGCCTTCAAGTTGAACATGCTCTGAATAGGTGGCTGTATCTTTATTTTTGCAGTGAGTATGTGAGCTTTCACATTGGTGTGTTCATACTTGAAATCATTCCCTTGGCTTGAATTAGGTTTTGGGGTGGTACTTTAAGAGTTCTGAAATATGACTGCCTTAGAAGTGCTGCTCCAGAGATGATTGTGCTGAAGTGGTTTAACCGCATATAAACACTAGGGAGTACATACACGTTGCAGAGCTTTATTTTTAAAGTTAAAATAACAGCAGTTTGTAGAGATGATCCATATTCTTAAATTGAAATTCTGCCTCTTAGGAATGGATTCTCCCTTTTATTTGTTCCATTTCCTTCCAGAAAACCGTCAACAAAAGCAGACAATGGAGCTTTTGCAAAAATGATATCTAAAAGTGCTTAGTAATTTACATGTTAGTGGTATATCAGTTAATAAATATGAAACTACACACGTGACTGTGTGTAGTCATGATATTTTGGAAGTATCTGCTTTTGTTGTAGTAGCTAGCATTCTTTGAGCAAAATGTTATGTCTCCTTTGCTGGCAAAACACTGTTTTTATTTAATGAGGAGAGTAGAATGCAACAAATTGTCAAACTGTTATGCTTGTTGTTGCTTATTTACAGCAACAGGATTACATTACATCAGAAACTGGTGTATCATTTTGCTCTTAGGAGAAAAGGGAAATTGCCTTTTCAGATATTAGTGGATTATTACTGAAGCCATAAAGACCTTTTCAGTTAGGCAAGATGGTTTTTTAAGCTGTTGAACTCTCTCTGTTGTGTAGGAGCCTGCTAACAGTCGTCTACCTCCTCACCTGATTGCACTTGACTCTGCTCTTCCTGGGTTTTTTGATGACCTTGGCTACTTGGATTTATTACCATGTCGTCCTTTTGATACTGTTTTCATTTTCTACATGAAGGCAGGCCAGAAAACAAGCCAGGAGGTACGTGAAAGCGTCGAGTGCCAGATAGCCTGTATTGTCTTGTTTGTAGTCATCCTCAGGTGAATAAAGCAGCACTGCTGGTGACTTGAGTGGAGAATCCAAACCGGGGGCTCTGGGCTTTGTGTGTGTTTACAGCGTGAGCTGTGACAAGTCACCGCATACTCTTTTCATCTGCTGGTTGAAGTACATTACCCACATTTAGGATTGTTGTAAGGTCTCGATAAAACATCTTTTTAATACATTTAAATATATTCATAGTGGTTTTGTTACCTGTTCTGTTCTTATTGTCCTTATTTGTAGAGTTCAGAGATTGGTATTAGAAATGCATTTCAGATTTGTTGGCTCAGCTTGTAGGGAAGGCTGCAGTTTCTGCCAGCAGTGTGCGATGTCCAGGTAGTTTGGTTTCCTTCTAATGTTAAACACATGTTAAAAGAATGAAAAACTTTCTGCAGGCAAGAAGATATTATTGCTTTGTAAGTCTTTACATTATGCTATTTACATTCAAATGTGATTATGTTAATCAGGTTAATTTATGCAAGTCTAAATCGTGACTTCTTTAGACCTTGATGTAGAAACTCACAAAGACAGCTTATGGGCTCATTAGAAAAGAGTACTTCTGTAGTACCTTCTCCTCGTTCCATTCACAACTCTCATAGTAAAGGGTAGAAGCGTAGCTTCCATGATAACTGGTTGTGCCATCTCGTCATGTTACTGTGAAGGTACAGTTGACAGAACATTGTAGCACCTTCTACTTCAGTGTGGATTACTCTAATTCTTGAAACCAGGATCGTTCTGTTTGTGAGTTTTCAAGTTGAAGTTCAGAGTAGCCGGTAAACTCTTTCCGTCTCTGCAGTCACCTATGAAACAAGACATGAAAGGTTTGCCTTCCAGCTGAAATGTGCTCTCGCTGAGCTAGTAGAATGCTTTTTTCCCATCTGATGCTTATGGATTTATGCTCTTATTGTGCTAGTATGGATTAAGACAGATGAGATTACTTAGTCCTGCAGAACTTGCTGGCCATTGGAAACCCAGTTAGCATGAGGTTTGCCATGTAGATTTAAGACAGTCTTGTATTTGTGTGATTCTGGACGTATTGAGACACCGTATAAAGATGCCGCTCCTGCTTCAGGACCCCCGGACATCGTGCTGTGATCCCTAAGCCTTTCAGGTTGTGCAAAGTCGCAGTGGCAGTCGAGTTAGTAACATACTCGTCTCTGTGGACCTGAGCTGGGTGAGATACTGGCCAACACATCTTCAGTAAGACTGGTGGCTTAATTCTGTCCTGTATTGTTTTCAATATTGGCGATCAGGAGAGGAGGAGAGCAAAGCCAAGTCACAACGTGGTTCCTGCTTTGGTCCTACTGGGCCATCTCTGTGCATATGAGTTCATGCCACTCCTGCTCAGGACCTCATCCTGTTCCAAGGGGCGACCTGCTCTTCTTTCACAAGGAGTGGTGTCACCTGTGTTTTTTCTGATGCTGCACAGCCCGGAATAGTGGCATCTAGCCCGCTGGTTATTGCATTAGACACAAATATTTTTCTGTGGTGGGTAGGCAATGGTTCTGGTAGACCCAAGCACAAATCATCCATGTCTCCCTGCGTGCCGTTTGGGGAAGGTCTCAGCTTTCAGTCAGTCACAGTGTGGGATAAAAATTGCCTTTGGATATGGAAACATCCCGGTTCTTTAGAAGGAGTAGGATTAAGGTTTAAAGTG